CCCGCGTTTTCTCCTCAGATGGTTGGACTTTACCATCTTCTATGATGAATCTTAGTTTTCTAAGATTCTACCCGTCTTTTTAGAAACTGGCACTTTTCTTTTTTAATCTCTAACCCAAAAGAACTTGTAACTTCCAAAACTTTCTGCAAACGCTCAATACCTTCTTCCTCAGTTGAACTTAGAATGATCACATCGTCAATGTGATTTAGTGTAATATTTGCCAAACACAAAACTCTGAAAATATGAGTTATATACCTCTGGAACACTGCTGGGCTATTACAAAGGCCGAAGGGGCATTTCAAAAATTCCAATTGTCCACTTGGTGTAACGAACGATGTATATTTCAGACTTTCTTCGTATACATGAACATGAAAAAAAAAAACAAGCATTTTGCAAAGAATGTTGCTCCTTGCAGTCTGTCCAATACATCTTCGATTGAAGGAAGTGGAAATCTGTCCTTCGCGATTTTCTGATCAATTTTACAGTAATCGCAGAAAATTCTACTCCTGCCATCTTTTTTTTTTCCAACGAGCACTATCGGACTTGCATAGTTCGTAGAGCTTGGTCTTATGATTCTTTCTTGTAGTCATTCTTGTATTTGAAATTCAACTTCTTTCTTTTCATTTTTGGAAATTCTTCTAGGTCTCTGATATACAAGTTCCTCATCTGTTCACAAAAGTTTCATTTCAATGTTTGTGCTTTCTGTCTTTATAGGTTTATACTCCATCATCATTTTCTTGATTTTATTTCTAAATCTCTAATTTCTAAAATTCTCATTATTCCTTTTAAATAATTCAACATTGCCATCTCTGATGTTCACCTCTAGTTGTTTTAACAAATCATTTCCTATAATCGACTTGTAGCCTGAAGCTTCTGTTGGTATCACGTGTATTGTTAATTGTTAAAGTATCGACGTTATTAACACCTATGCATCTAATATTAAGTTTTTCTCCAACCAAAGGGATGAACTGGAAATACATTTCATATACTTCACTTCTTATTGCACTGATGTCACCAGCGGTATCAAATAAAGACGTTAACTGCACACCATCGATTATCCTCTTGAGTGAATTTTTTGGTACAATATTATTGTATGTAGGTACGAATCTTCTGTCCTTGTTTTCCTCCATTTTCTCAGTACATTTTTGCGCAATGTGTCCAAAATCACCACACTTAAAACACTCCATTGTGCTTAACTTATCAGGGCAATCTATAGACTTATGACCTAATTGCCCACAATTGTAACAATTATAATTCTTTTTGGGTTGGTCCTACGGCTGGTCTCGTTTTTCATCTTTCTCTTGCTTTTTGATATGTCTTGAATCATTTCGGTTATCAAATTTATTTCCTTTCCATTTAGATTTATCTGGATTACTTGGGCGTTCCCTCGACTTTACTTGGTCATATAATTTAATTTATTCCTTCTTGATCTGTGGCTTAAAAAGTCAGTGTCCGCGATATCTGTTGAAAATGCAGATGACAGTATTTCCGAATTATCAGTAGCAATTTCAGCAGGTTGAACGTTGAACCTTCCGGTAAGCTTCAATAAATAGGAGTAGGTGGGTACACAACGAAGTACCATTATTACATTACATTCAGTGGGCTTCCAGCGATGTAACTTAGTTGATGGGTTTATTATTATTATAAACGAATAACTGTCGGAAGAGGAGGATACTTGGAAGATTTCCATATATCTATGGATAGGTCGATTGGGTGCAGTTAAATGGCCATTGGCCACAATGATCTCCATCAAATAATTTCCATTGAAACTAAGTGTTACACATTACACACTCCTCAACGATAACCTTGGGATGATTCACTGGGATGACTTACTCCGGGGTCTCGATATGACAGAAATGACCAGAGTTTTCTATGGCGTTCTCTATACGGCCATCAATTGTTGCGTACCAAAGAAGCAGCTCTCAAGACATAAATTTCCACGATGGTTCTCCCTTGAACTAAAGAACCTAATAATTAAGAAGAAAAGTGCCCACAGAACTTGGAAGTAGACGGGTTCCCCTGCTGACTATGGTGAATTTTCACACCTTCGGGCTCAGTGTAAGAGTCTTTCCAAAGATTGCTATACAAATTATATCATACAGGGTTGCCAGATGGTTATAACTAATTTCCCCCAAAGGATTTTAAAAATACCCCAAAAATCACTGTTTGTCAACTAAAATCCCCCAAATAAATATAAATTTATTCTCGACTCATACTTGCAAAAAAAAACGACAAATTCGTTGAATATTTTAAAATAAAACTCATACCCTTACCACTTTTTTATTTGTTTATATTTTTCTAATCCCAAAAATAAAATGACAATTGACAAATGACAAATGAAATAAAATGTTGTGACTGGTGACTGAACAGATAAGTACAGTTGTACCAAGAAGTTTGGATAGTTTAAAAAATAATCTCAAAACCACACCAAACGCTTTTGTTGCATACTGCCAAAGCAGCCATGTTGTCTTTTTGTGCTTTGGAGGGATTTCATGCCCTTATTCGTTTTATCTGAAAAAATCCGCAAAAAATCCTCTGAATTACAAAATCGGAAAAAAATCCAACCGTCCAAAAAAAATCCGCAAATCGGATTAAAATCCGCTCATTGGCAACACTGGAGAAGAAGCAAACTGTATCTTTTTTATTGGTACTTGATTGAAAAAATAGATGGCGCAGTTGTTTTAATACATTTTTTACTTTAGTTTTATTCATTGAAATATACCCGATTTCCCCCAATAGCGAAAATTCTTACAATTCTTACCCCCAAAAAATCCCCCAGAAAAAACTATCCCCCAGATTTTCCCCCATCTACTTGAAAATCCCCCAAATTTGGGGGAAAATCCCCCAATCTGGTAACACTGATATCATATCCTCGGAGGTATCATTGCTTATGGATACAAATCTAAAACATTTCTGGAACTAGACAACAGACTTATGGACTCCATTCTTACATGTTTTATGACGGTAAATTCGCCAAAACTGGACCTGAACTAGCTAATCTTTTCGGTGCATACTTTCATTCTGTATACTCAAACAAAGCATGTATTATTGGCCATAGTATTTCCGATAGTAACATTCACATTCATGACTTTGAAATTTCCAAGTTATTTACGAGGAACTGCGTAAGCTGCGGATCTTTCGTGGACCTGGCCCGGATGGCATCCCCCCTCTGATGCTCAGCAGGTGTAGCTTTATACTATCCCGTCCACTGTTTATTTTGTTCAATGAATCACTTAGTAGTGGGGTTTTTCCTGAGATTGGAAACGGAGTTTTATCACCTTCATCCATAATGACGGTGACAAAATGGATATTACCAAATACAGGCCTATCAGTATCCTTAACACTATGCCTAAGGTCTTTGAGGATATAGTAACTAAATTCTTAACTCCTATCATCAACTCTTGCCTAATCAAACAGCAAGCAGGTTTCCGGCCAAAGTGCTCAGCCGAAACTAACCTCCTGACGTATCGGGATAAAATCTCAGGGAATCTTGAAAGCGGTGGAGTTGTTCACTCCATATATACTGATTTTGCTAAAGCCTTCGAACGTGTCAACCACAACGTCCTAGTTGCGATGCTTGAGAGAATTGAAATATCTGGTACTCTGTTTGCGTAGATCAGAGACTACCGTAGAAACAGAACTCAAACAGTCAAGTTCATCAACTCCTGCTCACAGCCGCTTGACATCTCTTTAGATGTACCACAAAGATCTCACCTAGGACCCTTGCTATTCAATATTTTCATTACCGATATTGGTTCTTGTTTCATCGATAGTGAGTTTCTGTGATTTGCCGATGACTTAAAGATATTCGCCTGAGTCTCCTCCCACGAAGACTGTGCCAATCTGACTTGGATAGACCGAATGATGTGTCACAAGTGGCATGGAACTCAAGCCCTGTAAATGTAAAGCTATAGTTTTCTCCAAAAGTCAAGGCCCCATACAATTTGTATACCACATAAGCAATGAACCACTTGAAACAGTGTCCCAACAACGTGATCTCGGTGTCATTTTTGATAACACATTAAGCTTCTCCGGCCACATTTTGGATATCGCTACGAGGTCTCTGAAACCGCTGGGATTTGCTAAAAGACGTCCAAGGGACTTCACTAACATCTCTTCCATCAGGCTTCTCTACTGCACAATGATAAGGCCCCTCCTGGAGTACTGCTCATCGGTTTGGTCACCTATGTATTCTGTCCACATCAACGCCTTGGAGCAGGTGTAGCGTAAATTTGTACGGTACCTGGCTTTCAAGGCAGGTATTCCTCCTCGCGAAAATTAAATCTACAACTATGATGACCTCTACCGACACTTCAACCTGCAACCCTTAGCCGCCAGACGAAATCAAAGTGATTTATTAACCTTTTTCAAAATACTAAACTCTTACAATGATTCCATGTACCTACTATCCAGAATTGGACTTCATGCCCCAGCAAGAACCACATGCTCTTCCACTACCTTTTCAGAGAAGATCCACTGGACTAACTATGGCTCGAATAATTTTATCTCCAGAGCTCCCCGAATCTCTAACGAGTTCAATACCCTGGACTTTTTCAATACTCGTGAAGTCTTTAAAAGAGAGCTTAACTCCCTAAACAAAGTTCCTGCACCTATTGCCTAATTGTTAATGTGATATTTAGTAATAAGAGATAATTTTATTGTAAGTAATGTTTGCCATCTTGTCATGTTGTGGAGTAGTCTTTTGTTCTTCAATTTTAATTCTTGTTATTAACTAATTTGTTGTCTAAACGTCTAATTATTATTGTATATAGATGTTATGTATGCTATTATGGGATTTTCCGTCAATAAATAAATAAATAAATAAATAAATAAATAAATAAATAAATAAATAAATAAATAAATAAATAAATAAATAAATAAATAAATAAATAAATAAATAAATAAATAAATAAATAAATAAATAAATAAATAAATAAATAAATAAATAAATAAATAAATAAATAAATAAAACATGTTGACAATAAATCTGCTTCTTTCAGGGCGGGATGATCCTACATGCGCAACTAGAAATCTGGAAAGCTGCATATTCAGAAGAAAACAAAAATTGGTTACCAGAACAAGTACCCAGTAATGCTCCAAGTGGCGACGTTTCGGAGGGTGAGTAAAATTATTTCTTTTGATCAATGGCTTTTTATTTTGAACCGATAAAATTGTTTGCAAAGGACAAAGAATTACAAAACAAGTTTTTAGATTCAAGAGCAGCCACGCCTATTCTAGTGACCTTCTGTGTTAGTTGCTGTGCTTGACTCAGATAAGACATGTTCTTATTATTTTTTAATTCACAAACAATTGTCTGCTGTCGGCAAGGTTGACTAAAGGCGTTGAAAGAGATAGGATCTGTTTACCTGGAAAAATGGTTATTTATAGAATTAATATTGTCATATATGAAGGTAGAAATACATACCTAGATGTGATGTAACTAACCTGATATTATTTTTTTTAAAGAAGCTTTCGTATTTGGAGATAATATGTGTATCAATACTTATACTTAGGTACTTCATCAAAATAATGACTTACTCTACCATCGTTCATTGGCTTAATCAATGTTCTCAGTATTTCCTTCTCCAAAACTCACCCTCAGAGGCCATTCCATGTTATACCTAGTTAGAGCTGGGTTATGTATTAAGAATTATTAACATAAAGGTGACATTCTTATTGCGCATCCAATAACTCTCATTTATTAAAAATTCTTCTATTCTATTTCGTAACAAAAAAAATATTACAAATTCGTCTCAATTCCCTAAATTGGCTTTACCAAAAACTCGTTAATTTTTAAGACAAACTCAAACAAATGGATTCCAAGATAAATCGTAGCATAACTAGATAACCTTGATAGAAGCAGGCAAGATGTGGTTTGGTTTCTTGACGTAAAAAAATTAACAACGTGCGCTATATTTATCTATATTAAGGTTAAGCAAAAATTATTGTGTTTGTTCACCACAAGACGGTGGTATTTAGATTTAATTGCGAGCCTATTATATTGTAAAACTTGTTTAAAGTCACGCAATACTAATATTTTATTAATAATTGTTGATTTAAAAAGCATGGCTATCGATTATGAAGTATAACAAGTTTTCGTAAATTATTTATCAGCCAACGGTGAATTTATTTATTTATCGGAAAATAATGACTATTGAATTGAAGTGAGAGCTAATTGCTATTTTATTGGACGTTGTTGATGCATTTTAAAATGAGGTGGCGCTTGAGTTCCCAACCCTAAAATAAAATAAAACAGAAACTTTAGGGATTTGGAGCAACATGACAAAATGCTTATTATAATTTGATTAAATTCTTATCAGAGTTAACTCTTCTCTGGAGATTGAACCATAACTGAAATAGATAAGTTTAATTCTAGGCCAAATACGTAAAAAATTTTCTCAACTTATGCTGTACAAAACTTAAACACCTTCCAGAGGTTTCATGCTTGTCTGCTCAGAGACAGAGCAATCTGCATCCAGTTTTTTCCATCATGCTCATCTTATTTCTTCATTTTTATTGGTAGTCTGAGACTAGTTAGCGTAGCTAATTTCATTGCCCTTTCGAGTTACTCTATAAGTCTGTGTGTGCTCTTCTTTGTTATAGTTGATGATGATGATTCCATATGTCAGATGTGCCCAATGCCGCCCAGCGTCGACTCATTTGCTTCAATACTTAATATTGAGTCTAATTTGTTTTGATGATGTATGATAACATAGACTTGAGCTGGTAACACTGCTAATAAATACGATGTTGTCTGCGAAACAAAAATTATATCTTTGTTTCGCCAGGGCAATTTTTCGAATATCTTCCAATGTTAATGTGAAGAAATTGGGCGATCTTATATTTCCTGGGTGAATTCCGATTTCTGTTTTAAATCAATCCCATCCCTCAACCAATCTTCCTTGATCTCTATCTGTAGCCCTCTTATTTAGCCTATCATTTACATTTATTTGACCATAGGTGTCTCACGTCAGTTCTCACCCTCAAACTCTATTTTAAGTCACTTGTCTCCAGTGTGATCCTGCGGTCTTGCGAAACATAATGTCGGAGAGTCATCACAGGGATTATACTTGTCTTCCAGTTGTACTTTCAATGTGGCATTTCTGTAGATGCCATGAATAAGTTTGCTGTATTGTGTGCCAATTCGAGGGTTATTCATTACTCTTTCTATGGCCCATAGCTTAGTGCTATCGAATACCTACTTTCGCATAGGACACGAATAACGGAATCGAGATAAAGAGGAAAATTGCATTCGTTGCCTATTTCTATAAAAAGGAGCTGATCAGGAGTACTTAAACCAAGGCGGAACAACGCCTGTTCATCGGGATTGTAGCTATCCATTATTCTTGTTCATAAGCAGTTGGTGATGATAAGTGCCTTCTCCATCTCAAATGCTTCGATATCTGGTCTATCTTCGGAACCGAAATTTCCTATTTTTCGCTGGTCATTGATCTGTGTCTCCAGATCAGGATCTTGCTTTTAACTGAATGGGTCACGACAGAAACTTTCCACACCTGAGCGATTTCGTAATTTTTCATGCGCATTGATTTGTTCTTAGTAGAGATAGTAAGGGCGTTCACCATCACACTGCGCACCGGTGCAACCATCTACCAGTTCATCTATCAGTGTCTAACCCAAGTGACGTCATCTATCAATGCTAACCTACTCCGGGCTTAGCCCAAGCGACGTTATTTGACAACCTAGCGGGGGCACCTGAGCCTGGGAAATTTTTCGATACTGTGGGAAATCTCTAGATCGGCGGCTCCTTTGATCTGAAATTTCGGGTACTTGACCCGGGCCAACCCCAAATTTTTGGCGGTTTTTTCCGGAATTTGACCTTTATCTCATGATGTCATCTTCAAACCGTAGTTATCGTCCATTCGGGGCGTATATTATTTAGAATGTGATCTGGAGATTCCTGTTAATGGATGGGTTGGACATCTCAGGAGTCTCCAACATCGGGCCATCGCGTGTGTTCCGCGGGAGGAAGGGGTTCAACTTATGAAAATATCCTTCAAGACCCGAATTGCAACATACCGACTTTCTTCAAAACAAGACCCTACCTGCGTAAAAGATTTATTACAACATTTAGAACAAAAATTCAATAAACTGGTAAGGTCTTGTTTTGAAGAAAGTCGGTATGTTGCAATTCGGGTCTTGAAGCATGTTTTTATAAGTTGCACCCCTTCCTCCCGCGGAACACACGCACTGGCTCGATGTTGGAGACTCCTGAGATGTCCAACCCATCCATTAACAGGAATCTCCTGCGGTCAAATTCCGGAAAAAAACGACAAAAATTTGGGGTTGGCCCGGGTTAAATTCCCGAAATTTCAGATCAAAGGCACCGCCGATCTAGAGATTTTCCCACGGTATCGAAAAATTTCCCAGGCTCAGGTGCCCCCGCTAGGTTGACATATAATGTCGCTTGGGCTTAGTTGAAGTAGCCCGGAGTAGGTTAGCATTGATAAATGGCGTCACTTGGGTTAGACACTGACAGATGAACTGGTAGATGGTCGCACCGGTGCGCGGCGTGATGGTGAATGAACTTACTATCAACTGGCAGATGGTTGCACCGATGCGCGGTGTGATGGTGAATGAACTTACTATCAACTGGCATAAGATTGCCCCGGTGCGCGGTGTGATGGTGAACGCCCTTACTATATCTACTGTTCTTTTTCTTTATGTTTTCTCTGAGAAATGTTTGTATTTGTAAAAACTTTTTGGCTCGTCCTATCCTACTTTTCTATTCTTTGCTACTTTCTTTCCTGCTTCTCGAAATTTTTATTCAAACCATCATTGATGATGTCATTCACTTCTGATTCTTCTTTTATGCCTTTTTTAATTGAGCCTAAAAATTCTACGCTCTTTAAATTGATGGAACGAAAACTTGCATTGTGAGTTTCTACAATTGAACTACCTAACGTTTTTCTAATCGTCCAAGTTTTTATGGAATCAAAAGCAGTGTAATATTTTCTAAATACTAATTGTATTGAGATGTGCATTGTGTATCTCAAACTTCCAATAATTATTGTTCCTAGGAGATCGATATACACAGTGTTTTCTTCAGACGGAATTTTCCGTCTGAAGAAGGCATCGTTTGCTGAAACATGTTACGTCATCATAAGAATAAAATTGCGGAAATCTAGAAACTTTTTTTTTCCTTTTTCCATTCAAAATAAATAGAAGTAAAGTCACTGCACGCAAATTAAGTTGTCAACTCTCTTATAGAAGACGACAGAAACTATTTTATGGAACTAATTTTTGAATTTACTTTTTCCAGATGAGGATGACGAGTCTCAACCTACATCCGACTTGAGCAAGCCCACCACCTCGACCAGGACAGGTTCTCACATCCACCTGTGGCAGTTCCTCAAGGAGCTGCTCTCCAACTCCCAAACTCACGGTTCTTGTATAAGATGGCTCGATAGAACCAAAGGTATCTTCAAAATAGAAGACTCGGTTAAAGTAGCGAGATTGTGGGGAAAAAGAAAGAACCGTCCTGCGATGAACTATGATAAACTTAGCAGGTCGATTAGACAGTACTACAAAAAAGGTATTATGAAAAAGACTGAACGGTCGCAGCGGCTAGTGTACCAGTTTTGCCATCCTTACAATTTGTAAAGTGCCACAAAAACTGGAGAAGTATAAGTACTTTTTCATAATAGGCGTTAGGTCAAATGTTTTGCCGTCCAATTATTGTAGGTCATATGATCTCATAATTTTGCCCTTTTGACAGTGCACATTATTGTTCGGCAGTACTATTGACCTAACGCACTTTTTGTAATTATCATTAAAATAAGGGGAAATTAATTATTGGTTAAGGGTTGATTTGGTGTAGGTTATAATATAAATGCACTTTGAAGTTATCAAAGTGTAAACTATCTAGGCGATATGGGGTATTACCATTATCGTCTTGGTATGCGCTTTTTGGGCGTGAATTTTCGGAAGGTAATTTCCAAATGTTTCAATTAATTAAAATATTTACCAGGGAGTAAAAATTCTTAAAAATAATTCACAATTTTTAGGAAAATTTGCATTTGTTTGCCTTCGTTTTGGTGCTCAAGCTTGTTGCTTTAGGAGCTCTTATGGGGGCTAAAAAAAGCAAATTTTAGCAACATGTGATATTATTTTTATAGTTTTTTGAAAACTGGTGATCTGGGACCCATATATCTATGATATATAAATTTATTGTAAGTTCTATGAACGGCGAATTTTTATTGTAAGAAAATGTAAATTATTTTAGGAATAAATCACTTAGGTACTGTAAGTTTTGTTAAAAGTCTCTCTATTAAACTTAGAAGTGAAAACCAATACTTTATACGAATTTGTCTTTTAAAATATTATTAGTTTATGGTTTAATAAGTATCTTTTTTATATTGACATTATTTTTATATTTATTTATTATTGTCATTGAAAAAGACATATTTTATTATAATTCATATTTTATTTATTTTGTTATTTGATAGAGGATTTATCCATATTTTGCAATATTATGTTATCAATATTATATCACCTTATATTTTTTATTTTTTACTCAAGATTTTGTAACAGCAATAAACAATCATGATAATATTCACCAGTTATGACTTTTATTTGATTAGGATTAATAAATTCCAAGTTATGCTACATGAAATTTTGATAACAATATAATAACAGTGAATAATTTTTATTTCTCAATTTCATTCTCTCTCGCTTCTTTTTATTGTCTATTCTTGGAATTTGAACTTGGTATGGCATGAGGTATTCCATACTATTCCATAAAGCGTTGATATATCTGGTAACATGACCGATATAATTCCATTTTTGTAGTCACTTTTCACAAGATCTTAGAGAAAGAACAGTTTAAAATTAGTCTAAAGAAGAATCTCGGATGGTCACAGATTCTTGCACTAATTGATAGAACGTTAGCAATTTTTCATAGATTAGGAAGCCTCGCTGATTAAATTCAAGCATATACAATGATAGTGAATCTTACTCAATAACAGTTATTTATGTATCAAGGGAATTATGCGGGTGATAATACCCCAGGGCAAAGTTTGTCTTACGGGACACCAATTGCCCGTAGGTATTATTACCTGATAATTTCCGTGGTACATAGATAATTCTATTTCCTACTGAATTTACTGTATGTTGTCCATTTTTATGAAGGAATAAACCATAAATCAAAATTTCTATTTTTCTCAAAATTGTACCTATCCAAGGTAAAAGCGAAAGTTATGGAATCCTTAACTCCCGCGCAGAAGTTATGAAATCCTTAACTCCCGCGCGGAAGTTATGGAATCCTTAACTCCCGCGCGGGAGTTATGAAATCCCAACTCACGCGCGGTCGTTAAGACCCTGTTTATGATTATCGTAACCAAGGTATTGTCACGGCTCTGGGGTGCGTGACCGAAATCTTGGGTTCCAAAATCAAAGTCCATTTAACACAACAATAATTTATTCCACGTTACTACACACTCTGACACTAATTACTTCACTAATTAACTCAAACAACTAAACTTTCTGCAACTCTCAACAAAAATCACTACCTCTAAATCATATCATAGTCAATCTTCAACTTAAACTACTAACTAATACCGGCATTTATCTAACCCTAATCTATTCTTGCAAAATCCAGAATAAATGCGATAGACTTTTTTCCCGAAGAGCAACGTAAAATCTACAATCAAATGTCCAATTCTGTACGTCGTGGCGGAAGCGCCACTTTCAGTGAAAATATTATATATTGTATGCTTTGGGATATATTAGACTTTTTAGAAAATACCAATATTATATTATATATTTTGGTATTTACTTTAGCGATTAGGTATTTTCCATTTGCAATACAGTCAATAAGGCAACAGAATAGTATTTTCCCGCATAAAATCCATAGACTTGATTTTACTGAAAATCGATTTAGTGAATGCATACAGCTGCAGTTTATAACCTAGATGGCTGCAGAAGCACAAAGGTATTGTTGGATATTCAATTCCGCAAAAATAGATTCAGTCCCGGATTTCCTGACCTTAGTAGTATTCTCAAAGTGAGAGAATACAGTGATACAGGGTCAATGAGTGGTACTTTCTGAGACCAGTTGTAACAAATATGTGGAACATTTGCCCTATACAATGAGACGATAAGCTTAAGGAATTTTCTGGTATAATTTCTTTATCGCAAGGCAACATTTTGTTAGTACCTATAGAAGTAATCTATATCAAAGGCAATTTTAGAAAATAATCTTTGCCTATAATAATTTACAATCATGGGCGCCGGCAAGGGGGGGAGCAGAGGGGGAGCAAGAGGGGGCAGTTCCCCCCTGGAAAATCACTCTTGAAAATTATTAACTAGATTTGATCTGATATTGGGTGTTCGATATTTAGTAGGTATATTTATGTAGTACCATAAATATTTCTATTCATGTTTATATTTCCTATCCATAAGATCTTTTGATTTAAAAAAAATATATTAAATGTGGAAGAAGACTTGACGTAATTTTTTTGCACCTCCCCCTGCAATATTTTCTGCCCCCCCTTGGATTATACAACACGGAATCCATGGTGTTGTGGTTTCCAACATTTATTTATTTTTCAAGAGTAGAATCTGTGGTAGAATGCTGCCAATGCCGTGCTAATTCTTGTTCGTAAATCCAGGTTCAAGGAAACACGATGGTTTGATTATGAAAAGTGTTTTTATTTTAATTTGAACGAAAAACGACTATTTACAACTATTTACAGAAAACAGGTAACAAATTCTGAAGAACATTGCATATTTAAATAAGTATATGGAACGTTCACTTTAACGCAAATAATTGGTTAATTAACAGCAATTAAACAATAGAAAACTGAAGAGAAAGAAAAGGTTGATTTCAGGCGCACGATCGGGCCATTTGGAGAAAAGAAAAAAGCGGTACAAAACAACCCTTGCAATTCGTTACGATCTCTGACTAGAAGTGAGAACTCAAGGCAAACAAAAACTTCGACTTCGTAGGTACTCTCCACCTCCAGTCTTGACCTACTTTTGCGATGCGTTTGGTCATACGCACGTTCCCTTGAAAATCGGGTAGAAACGTAGAAACAGAAGATTATAGTAGGAATAAAAATATAAAGAAATTTAACTTTAAATACAGCGGCGGCGGCAGCGGGTTGAAATGAAATTTCAACATACTCCCCCCCCTTGAAGCCTCAGCTTCAAGAAATGGAGAAAAGAAACGATTCGAAGGACCATCACTCATTGTTCAATGGCAGTGGACACAGCTTTGCGATTGAACGAGTGAATTCGGAGTCTTTTGTTCTTAATTTTACAACACGAACATTATTATCTGCACTCGTAATGATTTCAGTTACCCGGGCTCTTGGCCATTTTAAAGGAGGTACATTTTCTTCCTTTATGAGGACAAGATCATTAACTTTAATATTTGGTTTTTGGACTAGCCACTTTGGTTTATTCTGAAGTTGGTTTAAGTACTCAGTTGACCATCTTTTCCAGAAGGCTTGTTGAACCTTTGTCATGTTTTTCCACATAGAAAGTCTATTTGTAGTGGTGTTTTCTAAGGATCTTTCTGGAAAAGATGTTAAACTGGAGCCAATGAGAAAATGGCCTGGAGTGAGGACATCGAGGTCCAAAGGGTCGTTTGATAAGGCGCAAAGTGGCCTGGAATTGAGAATTGCCTCTATTTGAGCCAATACAGTACTTAAAACTTCGAAAGTAAAATGAGAGTCGCCAATTACTCTTGTGATGTGATATTTGGTACTTTTGATGGAGCTTTCCCACAAACCGCCCCAATGAGGAGAGCGAGGAGGGATGAAAACCCATTGCGTTTCTCTAAGTGATAGAAAATCCTTTATTTGTTTATTATGTGCATCATTTTTAAAGAAGTCGTAAAGTTCTTTAATTTCATTTCTTGAGCCTTTGAAGTTTGTGGCGTTATCGGTGAAAATTACGGACGGATTACCTCTACGGGATATAAAGCGCTTGAGTGTGCAAATAAAAGCATTAGTGGAAAGATCTGATACTAGTTCGATATGTGTGGCCTTTGTGACCATACATACGAACACGGCAAAGTAGCATTTGAGAAGCTTGGCTTGCCGCAACGAGGATGATTTGACAAGCATTGGTCCGCCAAAATCTACGCCGACCTTGGCAAATGGTTTTGAGAAGTTTACTCGAAACTCTGGCAAATCTGCCATTATTTGTTGAGCTACTTGGGCCCGTAATCGGAAACAAACTATGCACTTTCCTGTTAGTTTTTTAATGGCTCGAAGGCCATTGAGAGGCCAATAACGAAGTCGAGTATGCGATAAAACAGTTTGGGGGCCTGCATGATACAGGTCCAAATGTTGCTTAGTAAGAATTAGATCAACTACGTGATCTTTAGCGGGCAGCAAAATGGGAAATTTCTGGTCAAATGATATATCTGCCCTTGACAGACGGCCACCGACTCTTAAAATTCCTTCGGGGTCCAAAAAGGGACTTAAAGATAAGATTGCCTTGTTAAGCACGACCTTATGGTGCTTTAGACAGGATATTTCCTTGGAAAAATGCTTTTCTTGGATGGTTTTAATGATAAAGTTACGAGAAACTTGCAATTCTTCGATTGATAAAGAATTTTCCAAAACCTTATTGGAGCTATGTTTTAAATTTTTTACAAATCTGAAAATAAAGGCCAAAGTTCTATGCAGGCGAGTGAAACTAGAAAATTTTAGAAATTTTGAGTAACAATATTCATTAGTTATGGAAAAATGCGAAGAAATCGTTTTTATACTTCGCTCCTCTTTTAATGCTTCATTGTTTTGTGAAATCTTGAATGTGAATTTACTGAGGTCAAGTTCAAAGTTTTGCAAAAAATTAGGTCCCTTCCACCACAACTCGCAAAATTGAATTTTATCGGGAGAAACTCCACGGGACAAAGGATCGGCTGCGTTTTCTTCCGAAGAAACATGTCGCCAAATGAATGATTCGGTTAACCTTTGTATTTCAGCAGTACGATTGCTCACAAAAACAACCCATCTGGAAGAGTGTGCTGACAACCAGCATAACACAATTTCCGAATCCGTCCATAAATTTATGGATTCAAATTTAATGGCATTATTGAAAATGGCTATAACCTTCTCAACGAGACGTGCTAAAAGTAATGCACCACATAATTCGAGTCTGGGTACGCTAATAGTCTTTACAGGGCTAACTCTGGACTTGGAACAAATCAAACGACTAGAAACTGTATGATCTGCGTATGTTGCGCGTAAATACACGCAAGCAGAATATGCAAGTAGGCTTGCGTCCGCAAAGCCATGAAGCTCGACGGTTAGAATCTTTTTCTTCAAAAGTAA